GTCCACGTCACCATGCGCGGCCTGCAAGTTCCTCCGGCGAAAGTGCCAGCCGGAATGCGTTTTCGCTCCTTACTTCCCTCCCGACCAGCCCCAGAAATTCGCCAACGTTCACAAGGTTTTTGGCGCCAGCAATGTGACGAAGCTTCTGAACGAACTTCACCCCGGCCAGCGTGAAGATGCTGTAAACTCACTCGCTTACGAGGCTGATATGCGGCTGCGAGATCCCGTTTATGGCTGCGTAGGTGTCATTTCTCTTCTACAGCATCAGCTCCGCCAGCTTCAGATAGACCTAACCTGCGCAAAATCCGAGCTTTCCAAGTACCAGACGGCCCTACACTTCCACGCCGGCGGCGCCGCCGCCGTCGGAGGAGGCCACCAGTTTTTTCCACAGCAGGGGACAGCGGGGGTGCAGGTTTTCAATGGGTATGAGCTGGCGGTCAACATGGGAGGGGGGATCGGACAGCTGGCGGCGGTGCAGGGGTTCCAGCAGAGGGGGGCGGCGGCGGACGGCCGCCGGACGCCGGTGGAGCCGTCTTAGGGTTTTTTTTCTTACCCGGCCCCTGTTCTTTTTATTTTAATAGGTGAAAAAACTGGGGTGCGTCTTTCTCGTGGTGAAGGTGGGGGAAAAAAAAACAGGGAAAAAATGCTCGGTTTTTGAATTTGAATTTGAAGGGTTGTTCTTGTTGTTGTTTTGTTATGTTTTGACAAAGGCGTTTGTTTTTCGTTTTCGGAGGATTATACCCTATGGGAACTTCGACTCTACGTACCTACCTACGATTGTTTTTAACCTATATAATTTCTGGGTTTTGTTTTGATTGTTCGTTTATTTATTTATTTATTTATTTTTTTTGTATTTTATGATTTGTTTGCGTTTCGACGAATTCATTTGGGCTCGAATTTTCCTTGGGCGAAAAATTGAGGTTCTTACAGTGGATTAGGGCAACATATATGAAAATGAAGATGTTAGGGAAAACATTATGAGTGAGAAGAAGGGAGGGACAATGATGACGTAGAGAGTGCAATGATGGCCAAAACTTTAAATGCGTTATTATTAATTAGTGCTGTAAATGCAGTGGGTCTATCTCTTCTGTGCATGAACATCATCAGATCAGCTGTGTGTCTTCTTACGTGTCTGTATAGTTATTATTCGAATCGAATTGTTATTCGATTTGTGAAAGGTTAAGCTCGACTCGTTGATTTACTTAAATCAACTGAAGTCGAGCAGCTGATCGAGGTTGTTTATAGTTATATGAGTCGGGTTGAACTTGTTCGCTGATGAATAGTTAGTGTTATTGTTCAGAGTTTTGGGTTTATTAAATGAGTCGAGTTCGAGTCGAGCCTTTTGATAGTTTAATAATTAATTTGAGCTGGCTTGTTTAATAAAGGAGTGCAAATTCAAATATGAGAATTACACTTTACATCATGTGTTGTATATATCTGCATAAGGGTATAAATTTCTTTAACCAAAATATAGCCTTTACCGATAAATTTGATTATTATTGCATAAGGGTACGTAAATATATAAATACACATATCGGGCGCTTGAGCTTGAAAAAAGAATGGTCTTGAGCCCGCATACTCTTTTAAGTTCAAGTTGTTCAAGTCCATAAGACCTCGAATCACCATTCAACTCGAATTAATGTTGCAAAATACTCAGACCATTAGTCCACTAGTTTTTACTAAGTTTGTTGAACAAAACCAAGTCGGTAAATCAGACCATTTTGTTAAGCTGCTTAAAGATTAGATAAACCGGGAAAAATTCAAAATTAGTCACACAGGTATAGGGGGTGACAATTTTGATCTCGACGGAATGCAGAAAATATGAATAGTCCTACAGCTTTTAAAAAATAATCAAAAATAGGACTTTTTCGCTGGATTTACTATTTCCGGCCCGAAACGCCACGTGGCGCACACGTAGCGCATACGTGGCTTATTTTTTACACGCTGGCATCCGATGTAGATAGGAAAAATATCAAAACTATCCCACAAGTATAGGGGGATGACATTTTTGGTCCCGATGGAATGCAAAAAATTCAAAACTAGTCCCACAACTTGTAGAAAAATATGAACACGTCGGATGCCAGCGTGTAAAAAAATAAGCCACGTGTGCGCTACGTGGCGTTACGGACCGGAAATAGTAAATCCGGCAAAAAAGTCATACTTTTGATCATTTTTTAAAAGTTGTGAGACTATTCATATTTTCTGCATTCCGTCAGGACCAAAATTGTCACCCCGCTATACCTGTGGGTCTAGTTTTGAAATTTTCCCAGATAAACCTTATATACAATTCAGACAAATGGTGTGGTGTGTGTGAGAAATATACAATGCACGTACAAGTTGCATTGATATGAAATATGATGAGATAGAGAGGGTTCATTTTGAAATTTTGAAAAAGTGGGGTACTATTTAGTATTTATTGGTTGGAGTTATTATGTTAGGTCAGCGAATGTTACTGAGTGGAGTAGGAAGAGAAGAAGATTGGCTCTTAATTCCAAACTGCATGTGAAGCCAAGTTAAAATCCATCTCACACTCTTTAAAGGGCTAAAACGTACCCATTCTTAGTTGTTTTCCTATCTACATATAATATGGGTCCAACCTACCTATATATAAAATTAATTTAATTATATGCTTTATGAATTATATACATTGGTTGTTCTACCTCTTTTCTATANTCTGGTTTAAAATATGTCCTGAAATTGATGAGAATTAATTAACTCCCAAACTGCTGGTTGGGGTTTGGGAGAAAAAAGTACATCTCTGGTCCATTAATTTGGAGATGACTTATATGAGGTTTTGAGTAATAATTTTGTACGATTGAGTTATTTGTGCAGACATGTTTTTTTGAGTTGTTAAGGTGCATATTAATGGTATGATCGTGCTGTGTATTTGTACAGTGAAAAAAATATTTTAACAAAAACTAAATTTTCATTTGCCAGTACAGGATAATTCAATTATTAGTGGACCTGAGTTGAGTGATACACATCACATAAAATGATAAAATACGGCAATAATGATGTTATTACTTAGTCTGGTTATTAGTCTGTTAATAGTTAAACATCCAATTTTTTTTTCGGATAGTTTTACATATCTATTTATATTTAAATATCCTATTTTGAAAAATACAACAAGTAAAAATACGATATTTGATAATATACAAACATGCATTTTTAATTAAAAAAAACACTTTCCAATCATTAGACAGTGGCGCTACAACTCATTTTAAAAAAATTAGTACACGTACATTATAATTAAAATAAAAATACATTGAAACAATCATTAATTAATAAACTAATTAAACATATTAACCAACAAATAAACTTAGTGTAATAAATTAATATTACATTAATTTAGGATCCTAAAGTGAATTATGATCTATAGAATAATTCGCCAGACTTGCAACGGTAATTACAGTTTACACTTATTCTTGTGTTATTTAATTCTATCAAAATTGTTAAGTTATGGCCACCAGTCATATCAAAATCTCGCAATCTTTAAATTATATATCCACTATTTATCATCAAAATGATGGATATATTAAATTAATACGTCACACGAGAAGGGCATATATATGTAATTAACCTAGCTAATATAACAAAAGTTTTTTTCTTATTTGTAACTTTGTGAGAGAGAAAATTTATTTATTTAAATAAATAAATAAAATGTGTAATGTGTAAGGTGCATGAAGTGAAAGGGACGGTTTTAAAGGTAGGGGGATATCCCGACAGAAGCACGACTTACGAAGACCAATGCCAAAAGCCAAATAAATAAATAAAAAAATAAAAATAAAAAAGAAGCATTTATTTCGGGTTGTCCCTCTGACCCTTTTCCTGCATCCATACACACACAATCCCTCCTCTCTCTATACATACACCTATACACACACAATCTCTCCCTCTCTCTATCTATACATACACCAATACACACACAATTTCTCTCTCTCAGCAAAGACGTTACATTACATGTCATGCAAAATATTTACTTACATCCCTTTTGCCTCTTTTCACTTACAACTTACAAGTGCATTTATGAATTGGACAGTGCCAACACCTTTACCTCACCTACCCAACCCCCCACAACTTACAAGAACAATTATAATATAAGTGTTCAATTAAACAAATAAATAAATAAATATCACAAATTAAGTATGTCAATCTTTCATTTTTTTTTCAGTGTTTTGATCGTGAGCATAAATAGTTGTCACGATTTGGTAGGTTGATCGACCGGCCATACTTTTTTACACTATGATCAGGAGCGCAAACAATTATCGGACCTGAAACTTTTAAATAGTAACTGTCAGTAGTCGACCACCAGTCATACTTTTTTACGACACTATGATCGTGAGCATAAACAGTCATCACAGTTAAGTATATCGATCAGTCATAAATTTTTTTACGACACTATGATTAGGAGCACAAACAATTATCAGGACGTGGAATTTTCAAATAGTAATCGTCAATGGTCAACCACTAGTCATACTTTCTTACCGCACTATGGTCGTGAGCATAGATAAACAGCTATTACGGTTAGGTAGGTCGATCAATCATACATTTTTAGAACACTATGATCAAGAGCACAAACAGGACGTGAAATTTTCAAGTAATCATCAATGGTTGATTACCAGTCATACTTTATTATACAACACTGTGGTCGAGAGCATAAACATTTATCAAGGTTATTAAAAAAGTTAGTCAGTTATATTTTCTTACACAACATTGTAATCAAGAGCACAAACAATCAGTCAATGGTCGACACTTTTTTACGGCACTGTGCTTGGGAGCATAAACATGTATAACGGTTAGGTAGATTGATCGATCATGATTTTTTACGTCATTGTGATCATGAACATAAACAGATATTGGGACATGAAATTTTCAAATAGTAACAATCACTGGTCGACATGGTTATACATTTTACGGTAACGTAACAATGAGCATATATAAAGAGTGGAGAGATATTGGGACGTTGGATTTTGAGATATTAGAATATTCAGTGAAATTGAAGGGTCAATTATTTTGACTCTATATATAAAATGATGAAGCAATGACTGTCACGCTCGAGCTTCCACATGCTTCTTGTCTAATAACAGTAATGTTAATCCTTTATGAGTCGGGCCTCGTGAATCCGAGTAATTACAGGGAAATTTGTAAACACTGATTCCGACTTATGTTGTAACTTGTAAGCAAGGCGAACTATCTCTATTATTATTATTATATATATATATATATAGGATGTGGTTCAAATGAGAACCAAGTCCTAGTGTGAGAACCGTGAGAACCGCTATTTTTAATTGTATGTAGTGCTATGATTAATTGTGTTTTAGTGCTATTTTTAACTAGGATGTATTTGATTAAAAATAGCAACAAAATTTTTATTAGCATTTATGAAAATGATAGCACCGTGTAATATTAAAAATAGCATCATACACAATTAAAAATAGCATCAAATATGGTTCTCACGGTTCTCACACCAGACATAGTTTTTATTTGAACCAGCCCCTATATATATATATATATTTGTAAGACATAGTATTCATTATTCATACTTTAATTTCTAATAAAAATATATATTCATTTTATGGAATGTATACTTTTTTTTTATATTGTTGTTTTTCAATTCGGAAGTAAGCATATCTATGGAAAAAATATGATTGCATAACTGATAGATTTGTGTATAAGTAGTCTTACATTGTACTATTAAATATCATTTTTTTTTTCAATTGTTTTTGTAAACACAACACTATCTAAACCTATCTAACATATCATCTTTACAAAATAGGATTGTGAAGCAATCTAACTGTTAAACAGATCAACCAATATAAATTTTCGAGCGAAATGTATATTTATACTAATAATTGTCACACGTATATTTATATTATTTAAAGATTATATATAATACTTCATAATAAAAGTGTATATCTGAAAAAAAAAAGTTACATATTCGATTATTAGTTAGATTTGTCTAACAATAAAACCAGGACTAATGAAATTTTGAGTTATACATATGATTAACACAAAACTACTTGGAATTAGCTTTAATAGCTGATTTTTTAAAAGACAAAAAAATGTGATGTAATAAATTTGTTGAGAATTGACTAATCCTCATACTCTCTCTCTCTCTCTAGAGAAGGCAAATAGTTGCAAGGCCCTTGACTATTCCTTTCCATACTCTTCAAATTCTTGGAATTTGGCAGTGCACATTTTCCTACAAATTGAAGAGGAATTAAAGTTAAGAAAACAACATATCATGAGGAATAATATACATATCTCTTTAAAACCTTTTTNTTTTTTTTTTTTTTTTTTTTTCTCTCTCTCTCTTCCATCCTTAATTACTACTACTACATGCCTTTTGTCTCCCTCATTGAACCAACTATCCTGTGGAGGGCTTTTGTTGTATATGGTGCAGACTGCAGACACTATTTGTTTGTACTGTGTGCTGTATATCTGGTACCCACACACAATTGTTTGATGTATTTGAGTTGGAATTGAGTTTTTTCGTTTTTTTGTCTGCTATACCTTTTTTCTGTTTTCTGTATGTGTACAGTTAAAAGTCAAAATTGCTGCATGGTCAAAGATACACTTTCTCACCTGTGCATATGTGTGTGTGTGTGTCTTCACATATTGGATGACTAAATGGTCTTTCTACAGATCGTGGACTCTGAAATGTGTTATATATTCCTTTATTATTTTATTTCTCTAAATGTAATACAAAAAACATCATATGCAACGCATGAGATAAATGACTAGTTTTAGTTAGAAACTGTATAGTTCTGGCCCTTTGGAAAAACACAATATATGAAGTCATCTCCAATTATACCCAAATTGTATATTGACATGTGTCCTAAATGAATATACTTTGAACAGATTTAAATACATTAATTAATGGGTGTCTTCATAGAACTTTTCAAGATCACAAATTCTTGCGTAGTACGCAATCTAAATGATAGGCAGGTCAACTCATTATATTTTTTAAATAATAAGACACTTGACATATAAATGTCTTACATTTATTATTTTTTAGGCTCGATGTAATTGACCTTGTCGACCAAGGAAAGCGGGTTTTTAATTATACTAAAAGCTACATATTTGTAAAAGATTTATTAACTTAAGCATTCTATTTAAAAATGGTGTAGCAGGGATGCCATGAATGCATTTTCAGTAATCCCAACTGTCATAAGTTCTTATATCCATATCGGAGTTGATTTTTCTGTCTTCAAACTTAATGCGCAGGGTACCAAAATGTGATATGATTATCTTTGTCAAGGAATTCTATCTCGCATAGTATGCAGAAGAACCTTGTTAAAAAGGGACCCCAAAAAGGAAAATCTACTTTGTTCGACATGAATAAATTGGAAATATGTTTCCACTGTTAGTGGACCAAACTATTACACAACTATATATTCCTACAAATATCAATATGAAATTATTTACCATCATAATTGTAGATCACTCTCGACTTGAATATAAAATAAAACAACAGTAGGCTAAGCCCATCAATATTAGATTTCTCATAAGGGGAAATAGAAAAAGAAGAAAGTAAAATACCAACATAATCAATGTAGCATTGCACAGGACAAACAATACCAACATGTAATTACATAACTGTAAAGAGTAAAGGCCAACCAATCACGAACCACTCTTAACTGGTTTTAAGGTTAAAAATCTCACTTGTACAAAATCTAATACGGCACAAATGTCAAAAATTGAAGAAAAATAAAGTATAAAGAGGATCTGTAGTAAGAACATACATCATTCCATTTCTATCCAAGTAATATATATTGTTCACCAACGTATAACAAACATGACCAGAGTTTGGAGCAGGTAGAGCATTTTAAAAAAAGATATGGCAAAAGAGTCGAAAATGGGAAAAAAAAACTCCACATTGTATCACCAAACTTAACGTGCCAACGAATTTGTTCCATTTGACGGCAATAATGTGTTCAACTGCATCCTGAAAAGGTCTGTCAGTGCACCACGAACTTCCATCTGAGGAAAAGGTATTTCTCGTTAAAACTCGATAAATGGGATTTTACATTATCCTAAGTTAATCAGCAAATACAACATTAAAGATTATTAGTAAAAAGTGGTATTCACTGAAATAAACATAACATGGCAAACAGGACATGATAGAGAGAGACGGGTAAATTATGTTCATCTCCAATTGTAGAGTTAAAACCAAACAGCTTCAGGTAGCCCAATGATATTTGGTTCAAATCAAAGCAATGAAATCATAAAAAATTTCTGATTCAAGGATATTTACAACTTTTTGGGTCATCTCAGAGCTTGAGAAAGCAAAGGATATGCAGCCTTTTATGTTTCACTAATGAAGCAAACAAATAGGATTTGGCTTATTTTAGGGACAGCTTGGAGTTTACCTGGTCACAGCAGACAAGTTTTGTAATCAAAGGATAAAAGTCCCGGAAGTGGCTTCTGAAAATACGGGCATTCATTTGACACATGCCTTTCAGCACCTTGAATATCACAAAATTAAGCTTCTGAGAAAGATGTAGGTTTTGCGTCTTGATATAGTAAAGTTTCAGCCAGATAATGTACATAAACTTGTGAACTAAAATAAGAATCACACAGAAAAGTTCAAAAAATCTATAAGGAAGCATACCGTCACTATTATTGGAGATCGAAGTTCTAGAACTCGATGAACGTCCATATTACTTGTATCCTCCATGCTAGATTGAAAATCTGATGCCTCTCTCAGAACCTGTTCACAAAAAGAGACGAGCTTTCCTTCCGCTATACTTTCAATTTTCTCTTCTTTTGCGTCATCCACTTTGTGAGAATCGACTTTTTCTGTTGACTTATGTAAGATATTCAGATAGATACAAGTTCCAGAGAGCTCCTGACGAAGAAGATTTAGTGGTGGCCTGCGGAAAAATCAAGTGTTACAGAATGTTGCCTCATGAAGCAACCAACTTAACGCATGGATATGAATAATCAAAGCTAAGGAAGTTAACAACCTTTCGGAGGAATTTTGGTTCATCCGCAATCTGAGATTAGTAAAAGAATTGTATGAGGCAGCAAAATCGAGGGTAGAGAACAAAATTTCCATGATGGCGATTTTCTGTTGTGCATTCAACTTGTTCCAGAACTTCTTCTGCAAAAAATAAACATATTGAACATGATATATCAAACAATATCTAACATCATTGAAAATTAATGCCATTTTCCAAAGCCAACATGTTTATATAAGTAAACTAAAGAGATGAAACTGACTAGCATAATTCACTGAACTCCACATGATCTGGAGGACATTTCTACCAACAATGAGAGCAAATTCCAGATTATATGCGTTGCATATTTTGCAGGTTTACTTGAAGGCATGACCTAACGTGATCACAAAAGTAAACTAGATAGATCTGGTAGATCTTAGCATACTGCAGTCTTTTTACTTTGACCAATCACGTAGAACTATGATACAAATACTTGACTTTGCAAATATGAAAATCCTAAATCTGATAACTTATACCTGAATGCTGTCAACGGCATCTAGAAGTAACAACTGCGTGACACATTTACTTCTAACGGTTCCTAACATGAGACTTTCCTCCTCATCTCTGGAATCGGGCTCCACAGCTGCATCAAAAACCTAGATAACAATAAAATGTCAAAAATAGCCTTTATTACGTTTGACACTCAAATACCAATAAGGACTCATTAGTTCAACAATGCAATTTAACATGTGTTGAACCACGAAGCTAAACAAATAGGTGGAAAATACCTTCCATGCCGAATTGGGTATTAGCGACACAAAATAGGCAGATTTTCAACCCAATAAAATTAGTTTTCAACCAAGGTACAAACATAGCAACAGTGCCCAATGAAAATTGAAGTAATTTGTCTCAGAAGATCAAAATATTTCTTATCAGCACCAAAAATAGAGCCTTAAAGGTTACACATTAAGATTTTTTTTAATATATATATATATATATATATATATATATATATATATATATATGCCCCATATACAATGGACAAGACATGCATTAACCCACAAAACAGAAGATTGTCTAACCTTGGACGGTGAAGATGGTACAATTACATCAGATGTACGGTCCTTCGGTTTTGAGGTAAAACTTCTCAAAAACAGGTTGTCCATCACATTTCCCATGATTCTTTGTCCAAATGTCTGACTACGTTGAAGGCCTCCATCATCAGTAGCTCTTGTAGTTCGTCCTGAGGGTGATGGAATTCCTACAGATGCACACAGGATTTTAGCTTCCGATTTATCTATGATGCAAAAATTTATTGCATTACAATCTGCTAACCTTCAGATCCCTCTGCATCCACAGGGCGCACTGTCTCTTGATTGACATCTACAACAATTCCATCGACATCAGCTTCTTTTTGGACTGTACTCCCATTTTCATAGACAGTACCCTGATGGTTATCACTACCAGTTGCTACTGATGCAGGGCTGTCCAATTCTCTTGTCAATGTTTTATGATGCTTAGCATTCTCAAAACCCAAATTGTTCAGAAGCTCAAGGGGTTGGGTTGCATATGTAGCATCCCTGGTCAAAGCCAATAAGCACAGTAAAGAAAAAATAAATGTAATGCAGCATGCAAAATTATCAATGAACGATGATTTCGAAAGGCGCCTCTGTGTGTCTGTCAGAGAGGGAGGGAGAGATGATGATGTGTACCTTATACTTTTCAACAAAGTATTCCAGTCATGATCACTGAATTGATGTCCTCCAACTTCAATAAGATGCACTAATGCACCCAGAGATAATGAAACGACCGACTGATCAGTTTTCTTGGCACAATCCAACAGTAAGCTGAGCAGTTGTGGCAGCATAAAACACACATCCTACATAAAAATATCAGATATATGAGGCTGTCTGAAACAGAAAAAAAGTTCCCCTAGAAATGAATACCAAACAGAACAGCCATGGCAGCGATCCTTCTAACCTAATACAGGTTCGGTGAAAATGCGAAGTAACTAATGCACTTTTTGCTGGAAACTGCCGATTTATGAAGCCATCATGTGACAATGAATTTGAAGACCAAAAGAAAAAGAAAAACAAGAAAAAGAGTTGGAATGCAGAGTACTCCCAAATCAACAGAAGGAAGAAAGATAGAAGCCAAAAGTTTAACATGGGAAATGTATGATTACTTTGGCATACACAACAGTGTCTGAAAACAGTTTAGTTTCTCTAGTTTATGAGTGAGATGGACAAAGGAGGATTGATGTCCATTGCAACAACAGAACTGTATATTCAGTTTCTGAGAATGGAACAAGCACTACTGAACAAAAAAAACAGGAAAAAAATAGCTTATCACTAAAAGGTAGACACAGACTGGTGCACTGCAGCACCATGGCTAGGAGAAACAATAAGTTTTAACTGATGATCATTTTAATCCTTCAATAGCTAGCCTTACCTTGTAAAACGTGTTGAAAAGGTTGCATAACAACTGTAGTGAATGAACACTGCTTTCACGGACCCATCCTTCCTCAGAAGACGAAAAACTCTCTTTTCCGGCATGTCTTACGTTATCAAAGATTGGAAACAGGACTCGTTGGAATATATTCTCCCAGAATGAAGATGAGAACTTGCTGCCTCTCTCATTCAACAAATCAAACAAAACCTCAAGTGCACAACTTCTGACCTCAGGTCTGGGATCAGAAGTCAAATCAGAAAGACCAGCAAGCATGGGGAACCAGTAGTGCTCAGTAACATCAAATGTTTCATCTGCAGCACTGTCTATTGGTTTCAGAACACCACCTGGTATTAGTCCCTGGAAAGAACCGCTATACTGTGAGCATACCTCAGTTGAAATATTTGTTTTTCAGTGTGCCGATAGCTAAAACTGGCGATTGGTAGCTTTTCTTATCATGCAACCAAAACTAACTATTTTTTTGTGACCATTCCAAAAAGGATTTAAATATCACCAAGCAAAAGCATGAGGTAAAGAACATAGAACATTTCATACGAACGAAAAATAGTTGTAAAAGGTTACATGTCAGCATCCTGTTATAAATTGTATTTGTTGCTTCTTTTCTCACTTCCCTGGAGGTTAGTAACATTAAAAATCTAATAGAAAGCATCAATAGCCAGCAGGTCATGATTATCAGTCTTAATCTTAATACATATGATCTCCGGAAATAAGTTAAGACAGAAAATCCAAACATCTGAACCAAGCAATAGTAGCTTTAGAAGAGACATGAAGGGAAATAAGGTTAGACAGAAAATCCGAACATATTTAGCATACACTTGTACGATTTTCAAATGGATCGATAATACTAAAATAGTTAACGAAAGAAAGAACAGAATCTCCCTAATATGACTTGGGAAATACAATGATATCGGAGTGACAGTGACCGTGCATTTTTACGTCAAGTTTTAACTTTTAAGTTTCAACGACAACCGCAGTTCTGATATATGTTAACAAAGATATGATCTAATGCTCATCATCGCTAAAACAAAAGATCTTAATAAAACTAGGCAAATTATATATTAGATAACAAACCTCTGCAAGACGGTCCTCACAAATCCGCAGCAGAGCAATGGCCTTCAAACTTATGCGGTGAGAACTTTTATTATTAGCAAAACCAATCAGGCAATTGACACAATCCATAAAGCAATCCCCAACAACCTGATCAAAGTGTTCCAGTACAACTGCAATACCACTCTGTCAGACATGTTGTTTTAACAATTTTTTATAATTGTCTAAATGCTCGAAAAGAAAGACAAAACAAATAATGAAAATGGTAAGCCCAAAATGAGAAGGTTCCTACCCTGTTCGACATTCTCAAATGCACTCTCAACAATGGGTTCTGTGTCATCATCAGCAGCAGCAGTGAAAATCATGAAAACACTCCGCCATCCAGACTTAATGCTTCCAACTTTGGATTTTATCATCTGCTACCCCAATAGAAAGTGTTAATCAAACAGCAGAACTCAGAGATGACAAGAATGTAAAACTATGCACACATACTTGCACAATGCAGTCCACTATAAGCCTTCGTATGGTATCACTTCTGCTGCTCCGAATGAGAACAACAAATGGTTTCAAAATATCATTCTGAAAAGTGAAGTTTGCCAGCTCAGCACGCTCTAAATACTTTACAGCAAGTTGCCGTAGAGAATCTATGGCATACATAGCGACTTTTTCGTCAGGATGACTCCCAGCAAAAATAAAATGATGGGCCAATACGGACCATATTCTAGCCCAAACCTGAAAATAGATAAAGAAAACTCTTAGGGAATGATTGTTTATGGATTCAACTAGTTTTTATTTGGTTTGTTTTTTAACTATAGTTAATTTTGAAAAAAGGTAGTATGGTTGGTTGTTAGTGGATATATTAAAATAATATTTAAATAAAATAATTAAAGTTGATTTGATGTAAAGTATGAGAAAAATGATTGGAAGTGATGGTTAGTTAAAATTATGTGAGTAGATAAATAGTGAATTAAAGTTGATGTGATGTGTAAGAATGATTGGTTGATATTATTTAATATTATTGATAATATGGGAAATAGGGAAGTTGGGTTAAAATTGAGTTAAATTTGAGTTTTGATTGGTTTTTTACTGTTGAAACCATAAACAATCGCCCCCTTAGTATCTATAAGCACCTAGTGTTCATGGACATGGACTCTCTAGTCACTAAAAAATAAAATTTGTAGTGTTGAGCAAAGAAGAATAGGTGTTTCAATGTCATAGACTCATAGGTACAAGATTTCACGTTAAAAACAATGATATGCGTACAAATTGTGGATAATGAAAGCATCTCTATAATGAGAGCATTTGTAAGATGACAAATTTGTACCCCAAGGAAAAACAACATAAATGTGGACATAGGCACATAGCCAGTCATAAATCGGTAAGAGAAGTACATAACTATTGGGAGAAACATTTGTCATCAATTTACTCATATTATTACGTTGAAATATTTGTTTATTTTCTGATTTGATAACATATTGCAGACTGGAGGATTGCTCCAAGAAGAATAAAAGTATCAAACCACAAATTATATAAAGAAGAATAAGATGCATATAATTTAAAAAACATAAAATAAAGGAATAAAAGGAGAAGACATAAACACCAGGGTAGTTTAAGCACCAACAAAGCAGCTAGAGGTAGACAAGAGACAGCTTAATTTTAGCAGGCAAAGTAATTACCAGCCTTATACGAGCCATATTGTAGTAGCTAATTTCGACAACCTTCTGCAAGCTAAAAACACGTGCTGGAATCTGCTTTAATTCCTCAGCTGACACACTGCACAAAGCAGTAAAAAACTCCACAACTGTTTCACTTGGCAATTTGATGCTATTCACAAAAACTTGTTCTGTTGGTTTTCCAGCCAGCTCTCTCAGAGATTGAATAATAGCATCTCTAGAGATTTGATTAGATCCTTGCATGACAACTGCAGTCATAGCCGGCCATGATACTGCATATTCTAGACGGGAAATGCATTCCAGAATGGCAAACCAAGAATCTTGAAAGGCATAGATCTCAGTATCACATAAAGTAAGAAGAGTTCGTAGTGCCTCTACATTTTTTCGATGCATATCTCGTGGTGCATGCAAAAAAGTATACCTGCAATTTTTATAGATATGAACAAGCTTCGTATACAGTCAAAAACTATGTCAAAAAGCAAGTTAATCATTGCTTTTATCAGATGAACTTGTAACGAGAGTATCTTATGGCCATGCCAAGTTCTCCCCCTTTCAACTTTACCGAAGTTACATAATCCTTTCTGCTCCAGTACACCTATACCAAGTAATTAAACCCCTGCAGTTCTCGCCTCCTTAATCAGCCAATTTTAAGTCATAAATCTTATCATCTCTAGGTTAGAGCATTTTTTTGTTCCATAGGATACTTAAACCAAGTACTGTTATGTACATACGAAGCTTGTCTAACAAGAAATAAAGAAAACAAATTCCTTTGAGAAATAATCTGTTCTTGCATCACAACTCAGAAAGTGTTGAGAAAATAAGCACACTTCTGATTAGGAAAGGAACAAAAAGAAATTGTCAACAACAATATGACTTAACTATCACTTATAAAACTTTTGTCTAATCTTCCCAGAGTTCCAGATACCTAAATAACTGGAACTGGTTCTGATAGCAACAATGTCAACATGAGGAGAAATTCAAAAGCAAGCCACGACTTTGAAGACCCCAGAGATTATAAAACAGGAAGGTAACCAATTACTAGATACAAGCACAACAAATCAATAGGAAAATGAGAATTACCGTATCAAAGATGTCAAAAGGGCATAACGCATTGTGTCCATTTTGAGAACATATGTTATGTGTATCCCTTCTTTGAACCCTTCCATACAAAGACCAATCCTCGGTTTGTTATCTATTTCACCCATAGTAACCGCAAAAGTAGCAAGTAATGGCCATCCTACAGCTTCAACCATGAGACGTACAAGTTCAATTCTATGCGAAGTGTAGAAGACCCCTCTTCTTCCCCCGCGATCCTTCATTATAGCCTGAATTTGCTTGACAATTGCCTCGCTCTCAGGCTTAGTGTCCGTTGAAGAGCTCATTTTTGGAATAGCCAGATTCAGAATGTTAATGAGACCTCTGTCCTCAATATCTGGCTTTTGCTTACTGTTATTCAAAATTCCAGCAGGATCATCTTTCATTTTTATCTCCTCTCTAACAATAGAATCATATATCTCCTCTAAGAGTTCCTGAGGAGCAGATTCTTCAGCATCATTCATGGCATTCATGCGTACAAAATCACTTTTGGACATTTTTGGCCAAACCATTGGATTATGAGCATCAGTATTCAACATTATAACTGCATAAGCAAGGACATAAGCGGTGTCGGCATTCTTGAATAGACCAGGATTATCTGCACAGTAGCTGGTTCAGAATAACGCTGTGTTAAAATATGGAAATATTAGCTCCTAGCTAGTTACAATGCAAGGTACATGCAGCTTAGTTAATGGTTCATCTAAACGCTGTATCAGAGTAGCATCTGTATTCTGTGGAAACAATACTTGGTTTACTCACACGTACTAAAACTCTCAAGTTTTCAATCTCAATGAGCAATTCTGATTATAGAAACAAATATTACATTTTACACCAAACAATTTGAATAATATAGATTACATAATCAGATCTATTAGCTTGAGAGGCCAACCCAAAACTTTGTGCAAAATCACCAAAAAGCAAACTCATAGCAAACAAATGTGAACGTGGAAATCGGTCAAAGTGTGTTCTGAGCTTGATGAGCAAACTCAATTGAAGGGAAATCATTCAAGTTCTGCTGAACCATGTTCTCAATATAAGTAACCCTTGTGACACTAAAGAGTATGAGAAATCAAGGAGAGTAAATTTATTTACAAGACGAAGGTATTGGGATACATTTCTGCAGCCACCACTTAACACATGTTATTCATCTTCTGTTGGCTGATGCATGTATCCAGTCCTAACTTCAGTTATTTCATCTGATCTTTGAGTTTGGACAACAGTGGGGTTTGGTCTTATTTTCCCAATACTTAGAAAACAATACAACTACATAAATGATAAATGTTAACTCCAAATTGTCAATTTCAACCCTTCAACATATTTGTGCATCATATTTGCAAACTTCAGAGCCTAAGAGCGTCATGCCTTCAAAGTTAAGCCACAGCTCCTATCATTATCTGCTAAACGACAAACAATCATCATTGGTAGTTAAAATGCTGGTTATGACTGGTGGAAGCATTTAACAGTCTCGACACTATTATCATTGTTCTGAGAATAACTATCTACCATGTCTAGTCAAATGTGCATCATAAAGAAAAACTGGTTTTAAATGTGTAGCCTCAGCTACATTCTGCAATAATTTTGGAAAGAAACCTAGTTACTGCTAAGATGTAACTTGTAAGTGCACAAGCTAAAAAGATAAATGAGCCAACTGAGATAGGCCTTATAGTTAGATGTAATATTGTAGAACCAGTTAAGTAAATGAAAACAATGCAGACACTTGCGGGCACTTCCATGAAGCTAGACAACACAGTAAAGTTTTGTAAATTTCCAGGTTTTAGAAAAAGATAAACCTGTATTTTTGGGAAAGGCATTAATTTTTTATTCCCTGATACCAGGCTGTATCAGTCTCAATGCAAGCAAATGCAGCAACAAAAAGTACATACCGTTCTGCAAATTTTTCCATTATTCTATCTATCTTCTGAGCTTCCCCTGGAAGTCGAAAGCCTTTAAGAAATTCACGGATGGCTAAGTCAAACTTCATTCCAGAGAAATTCATGGAGTCCACAAATGCATGCATAACAGCGAGGGGGAACTCCTCGTGCTGGCCCAAGTAATCCCCAATCATAGCCTGGAATATAAATTCAGTAAGATACAGTGGGAATTATTCATCCATGAAAATAAACTTTCCAATAGAAAAACCCAATTTATACCTTGTCTAGATTAGGGGTATTTCGCAGAAACTGAGCAACTGCGGGTGGAGTTTTCTCCACCAACCCACTGGATATTAAATGCTGAATGCCCTTTCCTGGATGTCGATTAAACTGTGCAGATTTCAAAACAACTAGAGGCCATTAAAGGAACTCAAACAGAGAATAGCCAAAACAATATTTGCTCAACAACTCTGATTCATAGTTGACATAAAGAACAGAAATATCCACAAACCTCAGAGACAACAGTTTCAATGATGGATTTATGAGCCTTCAGCTTCTCAAAATTGCTTGGTGAGTCTTCCTTGCTTTTTGATTCACTCAATTCTCTAGATGAAATTGCATCCTCCAAAAATTCCTTGCCCTCATTCTGATTTTCTGATTCTCTATGAGACTTCTCCAAAAGCACTAATGACTTCAGCACGTTCACAAGACCCTAAAAGATTCAACAGGAGTCAACCAGCCAAATAGAATATGTTATATTTAGACGAAAATCATCAAGAGAACAACAATAAGGCGCCGAAAGTGTGGTCAAAGTCTAGGGTATACCTGAAGAGATGATGTCTTAAGTTGCCCAATCTGTAGTGTGGTTACAGACTTTGGATCCACATTATGTGTACCTTGAGCAATCTTGGATAATGTGGCAATCTGAAAAGAAGGCATCATGGAACAAGAAAATTACAGACACAAAATCAAGTCATTAATTTGTTTTTTCAAGATGTATAGCATACCACTCTTTCAAACAAGTTTGGTGCCTCAAGATCACAGTCATAGTTCACATAGAGGTCAACAAGCATCTGAGGATCCCGGCATACCTTCTCCAGCATCCTACCAATTTTGATTAGATGTAAAATGCTTATAAATTCAAATAAAAAATGAGTAATGCTACATTGCCAACCTAGTATACAACTAGTTTGACAACACAAGTGAAACATTTAAAAAAATAAAAATAAAAAAATACACAAGTGAATGTTTTCACTTCTGTTGTCAACTTAGTTGTACACTAAGTTGGTAATGTAGCATTTTTCTTAAAAAATTGCAGGTAACAGGAGCTGGCGAGAAACAAGCAAAATGTCAGGAACACTCAAACAATCCCTTTTTTTCAGATCACTGAAGTCTGAGGATGAAACTCAAGAATTAAGATCTATGTTATTCTTAGTTTGAAAAGTATTACTGTTTCAGAATGAGGAAACAAACCATACCGAAGAACACTTAATTTTTGGTTTACATCTGAGCCATCCAATGATCGTAGAATAATCACTGGGAAGAAGACTCCAATCTCTGCCTGGAATGTGTTAATTCATCAGGGTGGTTTCCTTTCTTACAAGGAAGATTAGTAGGAAAAAAAAAGTAAAATAAGTCTATTCACACCTTGAAGATTTCCCTAAAACGCAACAAAAGAACTGCAAATATTCCTGTTGCATACTGCAGAGGGACATCAGCAAATACATTAGCACCATCACGACAACAGTTTCCACGAATATCATAATGAAACAAATCAAAAGGGAGACAACCAAACTATACCTGAGATATTGCAGGAGACTGCGACATTGATGCTCGTAGTAATGCATATGAAAGGTGAGCTTTAATCGAGTCAATGAATGGAAAGTTTTTTGTGAACGAGTAACTAACACCTTCCAATAAACCCTGCATTTATCATAGATAGCATATTATATCATATTTGCTGCATAAATATTAAATAGTTCCTCGTTACATTATCAACGGACAAGCAAGCCTGATGCTTAAATTTGAAATATCTAGCTTATGCAGTTTGATTGGTATAGAGGTAGCAATAAAGATCTTTGTCAGCGTATAAAATAGAGAGAGCTATAAAGATCTTGGTCGGTGTACAAAATTTTGAAAACAAGCATAAAAAACCCAGAACCAAAAACCATTGTGGGAAAAAACAAAATCGGTATCTAAAAGAATGGTGGTATCCACTATCCAAGAAATGAAGAAATGTTGATAACTTGATATGAAGCACAATCACCCAGAGTTCGTTGGAATAAGGTCCTGCGAAGTTCCCGCAGTCATCCATTTAGCAAACCATCTAAAGGACAACTATCAGTGTGAAAACTTCTCATTCACAGAACTCATTCTTCAATATCATAATAGAATAATGAAATCAAGCTTCCCCCATAATAAGATGAACAGGAGAAGGATCAGCAATATTGAAACACTTTTGTACTAGGATGCAAAACTAAAATCATTGAAGTAAAGTTAAACTAAGACGAGATTTTCTATTCTTTTCCCAACCACGAGCTTTCTTCATTCCGGAAAATATTGAAACTGACCTGCAGAAGCTCCAGAGACAAAATCCGTGATCTGGTAATAACTTCATCATTGTCCTCCTTCATACCCATCTGCAGACAAATTTTATTATTCCATGAGTGTTGGCACAGTGAAACTCTGAACTAGAAAAGTAAAGATGGTACACAAACCTTACAAAGAGTACGAAAAAGAAGCAACGCATCTCTTTGTAGAACACTCATGTTCTCCAGGCCCTTCCCTCTAAAAGAATCAGAAATTCAAAATTCCAAAAGTCATACATTAACAAACTAGTAACAAAATAAAATATGTAAGGGTGTGTTTGTTTATAAAAATACTCAATTCGTACTCAAAATTTAACTCAACCCACTATTCTCAATATTATCAATATAATTAAATAATATCAATCCATTATTCTTGCACATCACATCAACTTCAATTCATTATTCATCCACTCACATAATTTTAACTAACCATCACTTCAAATCACCTCTCTCCTACTTTTATATCAAATCAACTTTAATTATTTTATTTTAAATATTATTTTAATATAAACTCAAAATTCCACTAACAACTAATCATATCAATTTTTTTTTTTAAATTAACACTAGTTAACCAAAAAAACTCACTTTGAGCAGATATATTTGTATACAAAGCACGCCCTAAGAAAAACTTATTTAATCTAAAGACATGTTCCAGAGCAATATCCCACATAATAAATTCTTCCTAAAATAATACAATCCCAACTCAAGCTTTTTTTTTCATACCTTGTGACTTTTGTACCGTCTTCAAGATCCACAGCCTTCTCAAGAACAGCTTCTAAACCCTATATTTAACACTTTTAGACTACAATATCTTTAAATCCAATAGGCAAATCTTATATAAAATCTCACCGATGGTCAAAAAATAATTGAAAAATGGAAATATACAGATGCAAAGTGAACAGTTGAATTGGCATGATCTCTCCCAATGTATTTCAGTGTACCTTTATATCAGTGCCACCCACAAGACCCTGAATTTCTTCAGATGTATCATTCATTGGTTTCGGGGAGAGTGTTTCACTCAATATCATATTTGGCTCATTATTATTACTGGATGACAGTTCTTCAACCATTGGTTTTGACCCATGTTCCAAGTGAACATCCGAGGGCTCAGGATTTGAAGAGACCTAAATCACCAGAGTTAATTACTAACTCACAATCAATCCAATCCAACCATGCAGCAAACATGGATACAGAAGGACATTGAATCAAATACCACATCTGTTTCCATCCGTCTGAAAACGATACTGAGCATTTGTGTAAGCATTGCCTTTGCCGTTGCTTGGTTAATTGGACTCTTGCTACACATTTGAGCATTTGGTATAAGCACCAGACAATGTACACACAAATAGATAATGACAGCTTTCACAAGCATACCTATTGAGAGCAATATTATAGCACACCCGGATGACTCCCAGCAAGGGTTCACCATGAACTGCATAAGAATAGATCCAAATTGAATAGATCTGACTCGGTAAAGTATCTTTGTACTGTCCTTGTAATACCTATTTACACAATAGGTACAGCTAATTCTAATTGATTGCACTAGATTAAAAGCTTATTACGTATGTCTAAGCTCTAAAAGGATCTTCCTAATATGAACACTAAAAAGAAAATTGGGCCGATTCCACTAGAAGTCCTCATCATATGAACGATATGTGGGAATAAATTGTTTTAAGATCTCAGTTGCATTAAAGACTAAGCCATGAGCATTATAAAGTTATAATGCACATTTAATGTAAATTTCAAATATGCCATGCGTATGAAAACCCTGACCATTTTGAACTTCCGTGAAATTGCAAATGTCATTTAACAGAGTAAAAGAAAGGTATATTTTAAACGCCTTCCACAANAGGGTAGAAAAAAAAAATGAAGTAATAGAAAGAGAACATGAAAGATCCAAGTGGGTGAACTACATCTCAAACATAAGGGAGTCAATCGTAGCATCCAACAAAGGGTTGTGCTAGCCAAGGAAGAAACTTAATCATTTAATGATGTCAAAATTAAGACTTCAGGGGTCTATACATGGATTCAAAACCATGGCTCAGTAACTTCTATATCTTGTGCACGAGAAGTGATCTTGCGCTACTTTTTAGAACTATTTCAATAGAACATTAAAATCCAAAATGAAAAGCAGCTAAGATTAAGAGGAAAATTTTGCTATGGAGCTTGGCTCCATAGTAGGGTCAACCTTCTATACACAAAAAGTAAAAATACAGATTAAAAAAAAAAACTTCATTGTATTTTTTAAGTAATTAGAAATATAGTATTTTTTACTTACATGCATAGAAGGTTGGCTCCATAGCAAAACTGATCATCAGTTATAAGGCAAATCATCATATCTCCAAATCGAAATATTCTACATATCTATTGGTCCCAATTTTATCATTTGAAGTTCAGTTATCCAGGTTCATAAAAGAGAATGCACAATCATTTAAGTCATCACCAACTTATCTAGTTTTTTTAATTTGCCAGGTTGCATCTAGTGCACATAGATGAAAGCAATCAATAACACACAGCGTTCTTTTAAAATTAAGAAATGACGAGACAGTTGATAAGATAAATTGTTTTTCTTTGATTGTAAGACTAAGGAAACATGTTTAAAATTTCCATTAAATTTACGACAACTAACAAGATTATCACAGAGGTTTTGGCATAAATTACAAAGACCGAGTAAGTTGCCCACAGGACCTCACAAGCACATATGTATCCTTTTTCTTTCAACATACGTTCCACAGAAAGAACCATCGCATATGAACGTAGATATTTTCTTAATGAAGAGAGTGTAATGGAGTGAATGAGATGAGAGGCTAAAATTCCATTACAACCAAACAGAATGAAATTTATAGTGAATGAGTGAGATTAGAGGCTAAAATGCCACTACAACCTAACTGAATGAAATTTATAGTAAAATAAATGAGCAAAAACATTTGGCAATCACTAAAGGAGTAAATAAAAGAAGCCAAAAATAATAATAGCATACTTGAGAAGGGGAAAAAATGATAACAAGGAAAAATGAAAAACTAAGTTGATAAAAAAGCAAACCTCGCATCTTTGCTGACGCTACGGCAGTAAGAAGCACTTTCAATACTTGAAGAGTGGTACTGCATTTTATCTTCTCAAGGTCACATTCAAAAATGCCAATGATTCAGAGAAGTGTCAATTTCAATATGCCAATAATTACCTGTCAGGTGATGAGTTATCCACGGAACTGCAGGCCATATTCAAGATGTCTGCAAATAGTTGCGCGTTTTTAGCACCATCAAGACCAGGATCACCCTCCAGGTGATTGTATTCAATGAGTTTCTACATTAAGAAAACAAAAAATAAACACTAAATTAGCACCCATAACTTAAACAAGGGATACATAACAAAAGTTCTAGCTTAAGAAACTTCACATATCGCAGTAACGGGAATGAAAATGTCAATAACAGGCCTACAGATGGACAAGAAAATGAAGACGCACGGAAAATACAAGGAACCCACATTAATCAAAAATAACATATCAACTTTTACCCTGGAAGTGTTAAAAGGATGTATTACCAGAACTGCAAACTGCAAGAGACAGTTAATAACATTAGACACCTACAAATGAAATGAGAACCTACATGAAGGCAATCCAATGCAAGCTCCACGATTTTTATGTTTTTTGTTTCAAAGGCAAGCCTAAGAGGATTCAGGACGAGCTCAGCCTCAGGTTCCCCTAAAGTATGCCCTGTCTTCGCCAAGACCACTGTGATCGATTCAGTACATTTGGTTGGCGTTTCCACCTCCTCAGAAACAGATGGAGTTCTAATGGAAGGACCATCTCCCACCTCAGTTTCTTCAGCTCTAGCATCAGGCTCAGATGAACTGCTAAGAGAATTAGTTGCAAAAATCAGAACCATATGGGAGCTGAGACAGAGTGGAACACTGTAAACAACGCGACCCAGACAGCAGGAAACTTAATCACATTTAAGGTAAAATAAAGCAAGTATGTCATCCTCAACATCCATCACTAGAGTACTCGGAACATAGCTAGATGAGGATTGCACCAAGAGACTCTGCATATGTGCTCGCATGGTGTGAAGGATCCATGACTACTCCATTGAAACAGTTGCCTTAATCTATTATTAGACAAGAATAGATGCCCAACAATCTACAGTGGTCAACTTAAGCATTAAACACACATGAACTTAACCTAACAATTAGTGTTGACAATTTATGAAAGATTGAATTGCTTATGTCAGGAAGGCACATGAAGACACCAAGAGAGACAGAAAAGCAAATAAAAGACATGCAGCATGCACACCCAGGCTGAAATAGAGAAACAAGCAACCTGGGATTTTTCCCAGAATATTAATTGAAAAGGAAAGCAATCACCTCTTAATATATTATTTTGGACACTGACTTTGATAAAAGACATGAGTCGAGCACACACATTTGTGCCATGAGTATATTCATTCCTTTCCACATCTGTTCAACTAGTTTATCTTACGCACATTCTGCTCGTGCGGGTATACTTTCTCATCTTCATCTATTTATATTGTACTCTTGTTCTAATTACTCTACCTTCCTAACTGACTACTTTATTGTCTATGTAATTTACTCTAACTACTAATATTAAACATATGGGCATAAACATAACAAAATCATAAAATTCACACTGAAGCTTAAACACCTTTGATTTGAAACTTCTGATAAAGCTTCCTTAGCCTCTCCAGTGCTAGACTGCTGATTAACGTCCTTTCCACTGTCTGAAATGTTAAAACAATTCACAAGAGCCCATTAATTAAAGGGTTTCCAACTGAAATGAAGATAAGAAATAGCATTTGAATTCACGTGTTAGACAATCGAGAAGCGAGAAACACGCTATCAGATATCCCTACTGAGAGAACTCAAGCTACAGTCAATCAATCGAGCTTCCCACAGCTAAAGAGAATAGAAATTCGAACTTCAACAGTTAAAGAGAATGAAATTTAAAATTCTACAGTCTCCTAGTTTTTTATAATGCAGGGAATGAAATTCAAAATTCTCCAGGTAAAGAGATCTGAATATTGCACAGGGATGTACCCAAGCAAGCCTGAATGGCAGACTGGAGCGCATCGTATTTCCTGACAGCACACTCTTTGAGCATCGACTCGAATGCTCGCGTCACAAAACCTCCGGCCGCGCCCCCCGCCATTGCTCCTTCCAGCTCAGTTCAGCTCAATCTCCTGGCAAAATGAAGATACACTTTAAATTTCCTTTGCGATCCGAGGCATCAGTGAAAGAGAATTAAGAAGAGTCGATAAAGTGACAGCAATAGATTTAAGATCCTGAGACGAAATAATGAGAATTATGAAGCATATATCGGAAAAAATAGTTTTACCTAGCCTTTTCAGTGAACAGAACTCGCTTGAGTGAGTAAATCAGAGATCCGCCATGGAAGAGTGAGAGAGACGAATACGCGAGTGAATATTTGTGTGCCGTGATTGCCGTGAATGCGCCTCTTGCGTCAGATTTGGGCAGCAAAAAAAAATGAGGAACAAAGTCGTGTTTTAACATATCATATTTTTAATTTACACATGTTGATTACTAGTTTGGAATAAAGACAACAAGGAGAATAATAAGGATGGTTTTGTATATAGTGGGGAAAAATTGTTGATTTTCTATATTTGTTGAGGAAAATTTATGTGGAACATATTCTCTATAAATCAATTTTACAGGTGATTTTTCACATACAACCTAAAAAAATGGCTAAAATTTTCTTTCAACTTTATAGTTCCCGGATTTTATTGTCATTTTCCCATTTTGAAATTATGGACAACAAAAAAATTAAAAATTAAGATAATTAGAGTAAATTAAAATAAATTCATACTATTATTTTGGTCAAATTTCAATGTCAATTGTGTTTTTTATAATGTCGAATATTAAGTGTAACTTCGACTAAGGCCACAGAACTATCAAGAGTGGGTGTACCTGACTTAGCTACAACAGACCTTAAACAAGGCAAGAATCGAGTGTGACTTCGACTAAGGCCACATAACTATCAAGAGTGGGTGTAGCCGACTTAGCTACAATAGTCCTTAAACAAGGCAAGAATCGAAGGTAATCGGAGCACTAACGTACTTGGGTCAGGAAATTACTTGAATAAATTATTAGTTTAGTATCGATACATTGTGGAGAACGAACAACACACAATGAAAATCAAGGTCGATGGTTGGTATCCCTCCAGTTTAAAAGTGTAACCGAACAACTTAGTGAATTGTCTTTAAGTGTTGAATTACATATGAGAAACATGTAAGATTATATAAGGACAAATAATTGTTTTTCAACCAAACTTACTCTTAATATGAATAAATTATTAAAATTACTAGCATGTCTCATTCACGCTATGAAATGCAAATCCAATATTGGTATATAACAAAAAATTAGTTAAAATATACATTAAACTTCAAATATTGGGATAATAAATCAATAATAAGGTCAAAGAGTGAAATCGAATGTGATTCACGCACACTTTGAAATGGGGGTCGGACCAAAAACCGATCCCCTAATCGATCGGTTCTTTTGGACATAACAATTGTGAAAGAATCGTGCAAGAACCAATCTTTGATTTTCCAACATGTTCGTTTTGTCCATAAGAGTTCACAACTTCATGATTAAGGTGTATTGAACTATATTTGAGTTTTAAATATTATATTATTGTTAATCATTTTGAATATTTTTTTAAATCAAACTATTTTTATGACAAATATTTTTATGTATAACTACAGATATTTCGATGCTTAGTATCCCTCCAGTTTAAAAGTGTAACCGAACTACTTAGTGAATTGTCTTTAAGTGTTGAATAACATGTTAGAAACATGTAAGATTATATAAGGACAAAGAATTATTTTTCAACCAAACTTACTCTTAATATAAATAAATTATTAAAATTACTAGCATGTCTCATTCACGCTATAAAATGCAAATCCAATATTGGTATAACAAAAAATTAGGTAAAATATACATCAAACTTCAAATATTGGGATAATAAATCAATAATAAGGTCAAAGAGTTAAATTGAATGTGACTTATTACTTACACACACTCTTAAATGGGGTCGGACAAAAAACCGACCCCTAACCCATCGTTTCCTTTGGACATAACAATTGTGAAATAATCGTGCAAGAACCAATCTTAGATTGAGTTTTTTTCTTTTGGGCCATGTGTTGTGATTTTCCAACATGTTCGTTTTGTCGATAAAATAAGAGTGCACAACTTTATGATTAACGTGTATTGAACTATATATTGAGTTTTTAATATTATTATCGTTAATCATTTTGAAAAAAAAAAGTTTTAAACTATCAAAATATATTTTATAAAAAGTATTTTTATTATATAACTAAAGATACTAATAAACTAAGAGCATGATTGGTATGAATGAATGGAATTAAGAAGGAATGAAATGAGCTATGGAAAGGAATGACAACTGGAATGGAAAGCCATAAGCATTCCCATACGTGCGATTGGTATTGGCAAGGATTGAAACACTTATTCCTGACTTGATACCATTGACATGATTGGTAATTAAAAATTAACTGTTGGCATCTGCAAATATATATATTTATTTATTTATTTATTTATTTATATGAGTGTGTGTAATGTAAAAATTCCTTCACTATATCAACAAAATATGTTCAGTTTTAACAACAATTATTTACATTAATAAAAGAGTATAAATTATCTTTTTAAGAGAAATATATATTAATTTGTTGATTTATTTTCGTTGTGCATTAGAAATATGTACAAAAATGTTAAGGAAAGTTAATACATATTTAAATTATTTTAATAAATAATCTTCTTAAATATAAAGATCATTCAAAATTTGCTACAATTTAACAAACTGAATATTAGAAAAAAGTAAACTTGTAATCATAAAATAATCTCAAAACGTAACAAAAATAAGCAAATGTACGAATGTATCATTCAACAAAAAATTCTAAAAGATAAAATAACTAGTGAAGATATTATAGGTCTGAAAATAAGAAAAAATAAAAATAGGTGATTTAAACTTGGTCACTTATGATGGCTCTAGCCAACTGCTCTCTTCCTTCTTCAGTCATGCTAAAAAACACGTCGGTTAACTCGGGCGATTGAGCGATACGACACACCACTTTAATAACATCTAGTACAGCTAGATCGGGAATTTTTCTTATCTCTGAATCAATCCTTTGTCTCTTTTCTGAAATTTCAGCATCAACTCCAATTGCTTTACCAAAAATTTCACTAGCTTTAGCAATTTCACTTCCAATAATCGAAGCTGCTTCCTTTATGTCTGTCATAGGCATCAAGTTATCAACACTTCTTTTTCTTTTCTTCCTCTTGTCAACTGTTGCAGTCTTGGGGACTGTAGTGGAGAAAATGAAGCATCTAAATCATCAAGACCAATTTCGGTTGTTGCTTCGACGTCATTACCAGCATTAGGATTGACATCTTCCCTTTCTATCTCTTCCATCATATCATTAGGACCTTCGGCATTTCCTCCAGTAGCACGATCTTTTCCAAAAATAATGACTAAGTCGTCATACATGGGGAAAGCCTTATTTTGCCAAATTCCATGGGTAGGATGACTCTGTGTCACAAGAAAAAAAAAAGAATAACTAATTGAGATTAACAAGATATATAGTTAATCAAATACTTCAGTTAAACTAACATACATATTTCTTGGGACACCAATAATAAAAATATCTTATGAGAATAACTGAATTGAATTATTATGCTATTGATGTATTACTATATGGCTATATAATGTATACACAAAACATGTGAAATAAACATGAAATGAAAAAATGTAAAATCTGAAACCAAAGTCCATGATTACCCAAATTATGAGACCATGATACATGCTGAGACCATGATACATGAAGCTATATACTGAGACTATATACTGATACATGAGACCATGACACATTACAAATTTTCTTAGCCATGAAATAAAATAAAATAAAAAGCAATATACCATAATTTGACAGAAGCCAACAAACATATGTAGTTGTATAAGTACCTGTAAGTAAGAGTCCCATACGGCCTTTTCGGCTACAATGCATTTTTTTATCGGATCCATACCAAATCCACTTGTATTTGGACCATTTAACATATCATACACAATATTGAAATCTCTCTTCAGTGTCTTAATTCTTGACTCAATATGTGGTTTAGCCTTGAAACCAGAGTTAGGCAATGAGACTCGCAACTTGTCCTCGACAAAGTTCAAGTAGCCAGGTTTGAACCCATTTTCAGCCTTATAGGTTCCAAGATTTACCATATCAAGGAGTGCATCCACAAGCTTAGCATCTTCCTCATTATTCCATTTTCTTTTGTTCTTACCACGACCTCTTATTTCTTGAGGTTGATGATCCATGCTTTAGAAGGCAAACACAAATTGACCATAAAGATTATTAATAGAAAAATATCCATCACATGAATTAACAAATAATCCATTACATGAATTAATAAATAAAGAATCCAAAAGTTTGACACTAAAGATGTAATCAATAAAAATTATACCACATACAGTGCAATATAAACATACTAACAAAAATTGTTCCACTCGCAATATAAAAAATAAATTATGCAGAGTTTCTATGCGCTATCCATGTGTTAAACATACTAGTAGCAAGGTTTCTTCTAAAAGTAGTCCATTCGGTAGAAGGTTCGATCGTAGTTACAAGGTCTTCATCCTCATCTATGTCATTATTAGCTTGTTGATTTTCTATATCTTCCTCATCATCGTAACCACCCATTTCTTGCTTAATGAAATTATGAAGTAAGCAACATGCCATGATGATGCGATTTTGAATTTTTATAGGATAGTATGAAGAACTTCTCAAGATTCCCCATCGAGTCTTTATCAAGCCAAAAACTCTCTCTATTGTGTTTCTAGCAGAAGAATGCTTCATATTGAAAAATTCCTCAGCGGTTGTAGGCATGTGTCTTTCTCTCCAATCATTCAAATGATATCTTTGGCCTCGAAATGGTGCAAGGAATCCTTCACCATTTGTATACCCAGCATCCACAAGATAATACGTACCTTGAAGTTATATTAAATATCATTAGTATAAATTATTCAGTTTTTTCTTTTTTCTTTTTTCTTATTTTGGCATGTATTTTTTTTTTTTTTTTTTTTTTTNTTTTTCTTTTTTCTTATTTTGGCATGTTTTTTTTTTTTTTATCTTAATTGAACTAGATTTATTCATCTTACCACGAGGAACCACTAAGCCATTTCTCCGAGTTATTGCATCTCGTAACACTCTACCATCGGCTGCTGAACCTTCCCACCCTGGCAACACGTAGATAAATTGCATATCTTGGGAGCACACTCCCAATACATTTGTAGCAATTTCATTTTTACGTGTGCGGTATCTAGGTTTGTCTAGTGCAGGCACTCGAACCTTGATATGAGTACTATCTAGAGCACCTAAACAACCCTATTATAATAAAGCTAGAATAAGCACAATAATTTACACTATCATATTTTTATTTGTAGACCAAATAACATACCTTGAACCATTTCCATTTTTCATCAGTAGAATCATCTGGAACAGCCTCGGGTTTCTTAAGCAATTCTTCTTGAATCCTTATAATAGCATTTATCACTTGCCGAAAGTGTCTACTTATTGTCTCCCCAGAACGCTCAAAGTTTGCATTTATAACTCTCTGTTTTTGGTGATGGGCCAAAATATGTAATGTGATAGCAACTTGTTCATCAACTAGCATGTTTTTTGTTGCAAATACCATTCTAGTTGCTTCAAGTCTAGAACATAAACGATGAAAAGCTTGCCTATTCATTCTTGTTACGTTCTTGCACACGCTATCACTTGTATATATTATTTTTTTAATGTACTTTCTCCTCTCATAAAAATCATAGTGATAAACGGGTTTCAAAATAGCATGCTTGTAATAATATTTTACTCGGTCAAGAACTATAAGCCAAAAATAGTTTATAAGTTGCATTATGGTCGTCCAAAATGACAAACTTGCTATACTTTTTTTTCTCCTTATCAATTTTCGTGTTAATCCTAGTCTTGCCATAACTGCAAATATAATTAAAAAAATACTTATTAGCATCAATTGATTTTTTTTGGATTCATCTGCACATTAAGTTGAACAAAATAAAGAATAAAATTGCACAGGAAAATATTAATGCTTAACCCAAGTTTAATTATATATATATATAAAAGTCACGCTAATTACTTAAGAAATAGAGAAAACATTAAAACATGAACATGTATATTTTTCCTACTTTTGAATTCATATGGCATCCTAATTAAGTCAAATGGCAAAAAAAATAATAAAATAAAATAGACCGTTAAAGACGAACATAAAACTGGCCAAAATTAATCTTTGGGCAAAAAACATAGCATACTGGACAAAAATAAAAGCAAACTGACGGATTAAAATTCTAATTTGATCTCTACTGCGTGTATATACACATAAGAATTGGAATTAAAAAATGAAAAAAAAAAAAGATGTTTGAGGTCGGAATTTTTACCTGGGGTCGTGATGAAGGCCGGTGGTGATGAATTTTTTCTTTTTCAGATGCGTGGTTTTTGAGTTTGAGAAGATGAAAAGATGAATGAACAAATAAGATGAAGGGTTCTTTTTCAGATGCGTAGTAATTTTGGATATTTTTGTTAAAAAGAAATTAATATATTCATTCCCAATGGAATTGGAATGGCTAAAACCATGGGTTATGGGAGGAATGAATAATCCCATAATCATGGGAATAGTGATTCCATGGTAATGGTCATTCCTTGTCAACAAAACATACCAAGTATAGGAATAGGAATTACATAAGGAATGATCATTCCATTCATGGTCCATTCCCATATACCAATCATGCTCTAAATACTATTCAAACTTGATTCAACCATTAATAAAAGGTTAACCAATGACGTCCCAAACGTTGGATTTTATGAATGGCGGGCCGAGAAAGAGTAGAGACCAGAGCCCGAGCTGACACGTGTGCACATAAGCTGGTAACAACAGGTGAGCAGACTTCCTGGTAATGTGCCTTTCGAACCGTGCCCTTTACGTTTTCCGCATTTCGAGTACGAGAATCAGAGCATAAACTATTAACAAACACAGAGAGGTGAACCAAAAGACACACCAATTACCCAAACCAGAATCCAGCAAACTTCACCACCTTCTCCAATCTCGCACAAGGACCACCACCTTTTTATATTTCTTAAACAATTAATGAGAAAAAAATAAAAAACGAAGAAAGCGCGGAATAGCATTTTGTTCAAAACAGCACATTTGCGTGCATGAAAATGCCCCAAAGGCATCACCTTTCTTGAGCTAACAGCGGAGAAAAGGTAATAATTGGTCGTCACTATTACTTTGCTCCCTCTGTTGTGCTTGAGGGATTTCCGATTCATGCCCCGACTCAAAATGGCGGAGGGTATTTTTGTGGTGGAAATTGAGAGTGAGAGAGAAAATGGCGATGGCAAACGCGATATTGCTGACGATGGGCCGTTGGCCGCCGACGGAATTGGTGGGATTTCACGCAGCGACCCGTGTTCCAGTGTCTCAGGTAATTTTCTGGGGTTTGATCTGTGTTCAGGTTTTCTTCTGTGGTGATCGTATGCTGGGTGATGGTACAACTGGTTATGCTTAAGGTACAATGCCTGTGGATCGATAATTGTGGCAGTGCTGGGTTTTGTGTGTATGCTTTAAATTTTTTGTCATTATTATTTGTTTTTGCCTGTCTGCACGAAAAGGTGTTTTTGAGAGTTGGGAAAAGGTTATAATTTAAGAGTACTCTGCAGAAGAATTGATGAAGAAATTTTCGCAATTGAAAAAGGTTGAATTTTTACATTAGTCCTCGAACATTAGAGGAGAAATGTAGAGGAATCAATCAGGATTGAAATTGATGGCTAAAAAGTGCTTCTGTAGTTGATTTTGTTTGTGTTGAACCATGAAGGTGATACGTGATAGAGACATATGATTATCGGTTTATGGATTGAATATAATATGCAGAGTAGCTGCAACTTATACTCGAGGTTCAATCTAATTATATAAACAGTCCAGTTCTGGTTACCAGTATCCTCTTGAGTTGTTTGTTTATTTGGAAAATCGTCCCTCAAGAGTGAGGTGCCGTTCGTAAAAATAGATGCATTATTTTCTACACGACCAACTTTAATCATTACAGTATAATTTTTAATTCCATTTACCTTCTCAAAAATTGTTTGTTCTTTCCATAAGTATTTTTCAACACTATTCCCTAGTGAGTGGATTTTTTTTTTTTGAAAATGGAAAGTATCTCCAACCGCACGCTTATAGTGTCATTAAATGTGTTAAATGCTATCACTATGAACTCAACCAACTCATTGAACTTATTTTTTAAATAAACCACATGATCTGTGCCAAGCTAGAGTTAGATCCTACTTGTAGCTTTCTGTGTCAGACTACGAGACGTATAACTGTTATTTCTTGAACATGTGGTAGCTTTACCAGCTAAAAATCAGTTGGACAGATTGAAGCAATGTTTAATATTTTTTAAAAATTGTGTATTTTTGTTATTCATTGTTAAATTGTCTTAAATAATAACTAATGCTCTAAAGAAAATTGTTTCTTGTTAAATCAATTGGATGAACTAGGATGATCATCCAGTTGGCCACCGACCTTTATTTTGACACTGTTGTGACTATGATAAGGTAAATGGGGATAAAAAAAGTGGAACAAGCCAAAAGAGAGGTCGTGTTGGCATATATAGCTGTTTTATGAACATTATATCGTTTGATCAGATGTAGCCAGACCATCAGCATGGAATGCAGAAAAAATAAATCTCCTTAAAAGTTTATCAAATAGTTCTGTTGAAGCATAATGAGGTGGATATATTTCTATTTGCTTATTTAGCAGCTTTTGATAGTTCCATAGTTCTGAATTTCCTTTTGTATCTCATTTTTTACAGTGTAAAATTCACTTCTACCATAATCTGTAATCTTTTCTTCCATTTTTTCCTGCATCATATACCCTCTGCATTTGGTTTGCATTTCTTAGGATCTTCTGACAGGAACCTGCAAGTGAAAGAATTTAAGTCCTTGGAGTTGTCAGCACAGGACAATTCAGGTTCCCTCTCCAATAAGTCAATGGGGACTATGATAAAGGACAAACCAAACCACTCTCGTATTCTTTTGGCTAAAAAGTTTTTCGACGAAAAAATCTCTTTGAAAAAGAAGGTTAGCTGCAATCCTTTTTCTTCTCCACAGTTCTCTAGTTTTCATCTCTAGCATGAACATTTTATTCTTGCTGTCAATGAGTTCAAAACCTCAATCACTTGTGAAATCAGTATCAATTCCATACTGTTTCTTGGGACCTTTTTTTTTTGGAGTATATGTCAAAATAAGT